ACATTACCCCCCACGCAAGTCACCAGGTCGTGGCGCGATTTTGGATATGTCTATATCTGAGTGTTTTCATGTGTGTAAATGCATGCATGTATGTATGTATGAAGGTATATATATATGTGTGGGTACATTTGTGGATATGATTCACAGTGTTTTTCATGTTCGCGGATCCAGAGGCTCGCTGTGTTTCGTTCTGAAGGGCGCTTTGTCCGTCATCCAGATAGTGCCGCTTTCGGACGACCCGACGCACATCGGATCCGAGGTGTCCGGGTTCAGCTTCCGGCAGGGCAAGAGGCTGTTGAAGCGGTATCCGCCAGGCCATTCGGTAGGGTTATTGGCCGTAGCGCCAGCCATTACCTCTTCCCCCTTTGAAAGCGTCTCGAACTTGAGTCACACACCCAGTCGCGTCAGGGAATTCGGCGTATAAACAACGTAGTTTTCCAAACTGCGGCATGCTGAAGCCCGCCCGAGAAGTTCATATACTATACCCAGAGGCCTTGGGGGTGGGCTAGGGTCCTGGTCGTGGGTTTGGTTTACAGAACTCCTGCTACGGGACACATGTCTGGTATACTGAACATGGCCCCGGGCGGTGGAATCTCACTGGGGCGGGGAGGGCGCGGTAGACAACAAAGCCTTGAAGGCTGAAGCGTCTGAAGAACGCGTCTCCTTCCCTCGCCCGATCCCTCTCGCCCTCCAACTGATGGTGGTGGTGGTGGAAAACAGGCCCATCACAACCTTCCGGAGATCTGAGCGGATCTCTTGGTGGCTGGGTGGCTGGTCGCTGGTCTTGCCCGGGGGCGCCTCTGGCGCCGCCCCTGGCGCGCCCCGCGCGCCAGGGAGGGGGGGGCCCGCGCCGATCCGTGGATCCCCGACGCGGCATGTCGATGCCGACCGCTCTCTTCCGCAGAGGCTCGTGCACTTGCAGCTGGCACAGTCTCTCGATCACATCTGCCGGCCTCTGGGAGGCACGGATGACCCCGGCGCGCCAGCTCCTCCTCGGCCCGTTGCGCCTCGGCCCGTTCCTCCTCGGCCCTCGCCTCCTCCTCCTCGGCCCCCTTCCTCCTCGGCCCTTTCCTCCTCCTCGGCCCTTGTTCCTCCTCGGCCCTTGTTCCTCCTCGGCCCTCGCCCCCTCCGCCCTCGCAGCCCCCCCCTGGGCAGCCGCAGTGCCTCCTCGGCTGTCAAGACACCCCGGCCCGCCCTCCGAGAGCCGCCTCGGGTGCTCCTCGAGCCATGTCCTCGCTCTCTCTCTTGCCCCAGTCCTTTCCTCCTTCTAGGGGGCCACATGCGAACCCTACCCCTACCCCCCACGATTTCTGAGGGGGAGGGTGGGGTTCACTTCGCTCCCTCCCCCTCAGAAGTCGTGGGGGGTAGGGGTCGGGTTCGCATGTGGTCCCCTATCCTTCCTCGGGAGCTACAGAGAGCAGCACGTCCCAGAGCGTCTGCCTCCTCCTCCCTCCCAGTCCCCAGCCCCTCCCTGCACGAGCACGCCGCGGGAGCGCGCCTCGCTTCGCTCCTCCTCCCTCCCAGTCCCCATCACCCCCCCTGCACGAGCACGCCGCGGGAGCGCGCCTCGCTGCGCGGCGAGGCGCGCGCCGCACGGCGTGCGGCGCGCCACTCATGTGCAGCGCGGGATCCCTCCGTGTCCTCCCGCTTCCCCCCCCCCCCTCCTCCTTCTCCTCCTCCTCCCTCCTCCATTTCCTTCCCCCCCCCCTCCTCCAGCTCTGCCCCCGCCTCGCACCGCCTCCAATAGGGGGCCACATGTGAACCCTACCCCTACCCCCCACGATTTCTGAGGGGGAGGGCGGGATTCACGTCGTTCTCCCAGACGAAGTGAACCCCACCCTCCGCCTCAGAAATCGTGGGGGTGGGGGGGAGGGTTCACATGTGGCCCCCTATCCTTGCCCCTCGGGGGCCCCCGCACGAGGTGGTGACCACACCGTGCGGTGAGTCGGTGGGGATTCGGGGTCACTTGGGGTCGTTCTCCGAGGACGTCTCGGGCGACAGGGGGGCTCCAGGGTCACAAGACCGTGCGGTGACGTACTGTGCGGTGAGGTCTTGCGGGATTTCGAGGTCACCGCACGGTCTGTCACCGCACCGTTTCGGGACTCCTGATTTCCCTCCGTCTCCTGCTCCTCTTCCTGTCTCACCCCCTGGTGTGTGCACGGCTCGGATGCCGAGACATTGGCAACTGCAGTGGAGTGCCCTTCGGGAGCCACGTTGGGAGTCACCCCGTTGTGGGCTCTCCCCGCCCTTGCCGACGAGGGATTCCAGGAGCATGTCTGTCTGTCCGTCTCCTCCTCGTCCGGGCCGGGCCTTCTCCTGCCCGCTCGTGCTTCCCCCCTCCTCGTGCCTCGTCCGTTTCCCCTGCGGAAGACCGCCGCCGTTGTCCGCCTCCATCCTCCTCCGCCTCCATCCACCTCCGCCTCGTCTCCTCCATCCTCCATCCTCCTTCGCCTCCATTCCCCTCTCTCCCCCTATCCTCATCTTCTCTCCCTCCTCCCACCTCCTCCGTCCTCCTTCCCTCCTCCTCGCCCTCCCCCCTTGCTCCTCCCTCCCTCCCTCCCTCTTCTTCGGTGGTGTCCTTCTGATTTCTCCTTCTTCTTCTCCTTCTCCCTTTCTCCTCCTTCTCCGTCTCCGTCTCCTCTTCCTCCTCCTCCTCCTCCTCCTCCTCCCTCGTCGTCGTCCTCCTCTAGGCCACGTGGCCGGCCGGGACTCGTTCTTCCTCGAATACAGCGGGCAGACCATCGACCGTGAATTGGAGCTCAAAGGGGGGCGGTTTGAGATTTCGCCTCTCCACTCACGAGCGCGGAGGAGGGACGTGCTAGAAGAGGAGGACAAAGCGGATGAGTAGGAGGAGAACGAGGAAGAAAGGAAGATGGAGGGAGGGAATAATAAAATGAGGAATATGGGGAGCAGGAAAACGATCATAGTCAGGAGGAGGAGGAGGAGTAAGAGGAGGAGGAGTAAGAGGAGGAGGATGAGGAGGAGCAGGAGGAGGAGGAGGAGGAGGAGGAGGAGGAGGAGAGGGAATACACAGAGTCAGAGTTTAAACCGAGTCACCGAGTCGTCAGCGCAAACCGAAGACGCCCAATAATCATAATCTCAAACGAGGTTCATCCATGAGCGCATGAAATCGTGGCGATCGAATGGGACCGAACGAGGACGAGGTCCGCAGGCGGCCCGGAGAGGCATCGGCTACGCGTAGGACTGACCCTTCGCACCTTCGCAGGAGTGACCTTTGGTGCAGGCCCGCAGGGATGACCCTGGGCGCTTCCCTGCCCTGCGTGCCGGGGTTTTGCCCCCCCCACCCCCCCACCACCACCACCGCCCCTCCCCTCCCCCCTCCTCCTCCTCCCCCTCCCCCTCCCCCCCCCCCCCCCTCCCCCCCCTTCCTCTCCTCCTCCATCTCCCCCTCCCTCCCCCCACTGGCCTCCTTACCCCCCCCCCGTTCCCCCTCCTCCCCCTCCCCCCACGGCCCCCTACCTGAAGCTGCTCACCGAACGTCGCTCACATTGCTCAGGGCCGCGGAGAGAGGGGGATCGCCACCGCCTAGGAGCAGGAGGAGGAGGAGGAGGAGGTGGAGGAGGAGGTGGAGGAGGAGGAGGTGGTGGTGGAGGAGGAGGAGGAGGACCAGTGTAAACCCTAGAATCATCAACGATGTTGGAATCAACCCTCCCTCCGAGCTTTTCTTCACAGGCCCCTGCAACGGCCCATTCCCAATGAGGGAACTGCCTCGTTGGAAGACATCCGCTTGAAGATCCTGAAGCATGCCGAAACATTGTTCTCGGGATTTCAACGCCACGGGTCAAAATGATTGCTGCATATTGACGATCCAGAATCGTGCCAGAACGCCATTCCTGGGTCTTCAAGACCGCGAACCAACAGAACTGCTGCACCCGTATATCCCTGAATCCTTCCAAAAAACCATGTCTGGTACGTTGACCACTGGGAATATGTGAACCCCTTACCATGTTTAAAACGGATGTGCGCGGCCCTAAGGCGAAAGCCACATGTTGAAAAGGAGCAGTCTTCGTTCCGTGAAGCTCTTGCAATTTGGGTAAACTTATGTGCGCGGCGCGCTAAGGCAAGAGCCACATTTTGAAAAGGAACCGCTCTCAATCCGTGAAGCTCTTGCGATTGTTTAAACCGAGTGTGCGCGGCGCTAAGGCGAGGGCCACATGTTGAAAATGAGCAGTCTTCGTTCCGTGAAGCTCCTGCAATTTGGGTAAACTTATGTGCGCGGCGCTAAGGCGAGAGCCACATTTTGAAAAGGAACCGCTCTCAATCCGTGAAGCTCTTGCGATTGTTTAAAGCGGGTGTGCGCGGCGCTAAGGCGAGGGCCACATTTTGAAAACGGCCCGCCCTCAATCCGTGAAATTCTTGCAAATGCTTTCAAATCGAATGTGCGCGGTGCTAAGGCGAGAGCCACATTTTGAAAACCACCTGCCCTCAATCCGTGAAGCTTTTGCACATGTGTAAAACGAGTTTGTGCGGCGCTAAGGCGAGAGCCGCATTCTGAAAATGACCCGCCTTCCATTGTGAAGCTGTTGAAAACTTTTGAAGCTTCAGAGTCACAAATGGTGAGGGGTCTCAGGCGAAACGCCCGGCCCGCCCCGAAAGCTGGCCTCGGGGTGCGACAGGGAGGAGTTATTTAGAAAGAAAAGGCATGGAGGATCAGGAAGAGGAGGAGGAGGAGGAGGCCTGGAGGAGGCCTGGAGGAGGCCTGGAGGAGGCCTGGAGGAGGCCTGGGTGCGCTGCCGTGCCCTGGGCGCCCCCTCGGGAGGAGCCGAAGATCACGGTGTCCTCGAAGATGGGAGCGCCCGCGGAGATCTGGGTGCTGCGGCCCGAGGCCTGCTGGGGGGCGGGCCACGAGCGTCGCACGCACGCAGTCGGACCGAGGGCATGAGATCGAGGTCGGTTCGGGGAGGGCACCCTGACGTTCTTCACGAGCGGCGCACACGGAGTCGGACCGAGGGTATACGATCGAGGTCGGTTCGGGGAGGGCACCCTAACGTTCTTCACGAGCGGCGCACACAGAGCTGGACCAAGGCATAAGATCGGGGTCGGTTCGGGGAGGGTACCCTAACGTTCTTCACGAGCGGCGCACACAGAGCCGGACCGAGGGTATACGATCGGGGTCGTTTGTTCGATGCTCTTGCGCACCCTGGGGAGGATGCCCTCGGATGTTCTGTGTGTTCTGACCGGCGGAGGGTCTCGTGCTCTTGAGGGAGGTTTTTTTGACCCAGGTTCGATTGTATCCGCATCCGCGCCCTCGCGGTCTCGATTTCGGGGCGCGACCCTGTTGACACGCGGTCGCACGGATGCGTGTTGCGCGGGGCACCCGCCAAAATGTCGTCCCGTATCCGACGGGTCGCGGCCCATGGTCCCGGCCCGAGAGGCCGCAGATACGGATATGCTTTTCGCCCACAAGTGGGGGGGGGCAAGGCGTTGCGATGGCAGCAGGTTGACTTCGTCTCGTTTTTGTTGTTGTAATTGCTGTCGACACAAAGACAGCCGAGGAGAATGGGCGGTACCAAGGGGAGGTGAGGTGGAGGAGGATGAGGTGGAAGATTGTGTTCGCTCAGCGGCCTGCCTCAGATACGAGGGGAGATGATGATGAGGAAGATGAGGAGGAGGAGGAGGAGGAGAGGGATGATGATGATGATGATGATGATGATGATGATGATGATGATGATGATGATGGTGGTGGTGGTGGTGGTGGTGGTGGTGGTGGTGGTGGTGGTGGTGGTGATGGTGGTGGTGGTGGTGGTGGTGGTGGTGTTGGTGATGATGATGATGATGATGCTGCTGCTGCTGCTGCTGACTGAGGAGGAGGAGGAGGAGGAGGAGGAGGAGGAGGAGGAGGAGGAGGAGGAGAAAGAGGAGGTGGAGTAGGAGGAGTAGGAGTAGGAGGAGTATGAGGAGGAGCAGGAAGAAGGGAAAGAAGTCGAGGGCGCGGGGCAGATATAGGAGGGGCAGGGAGACGGCGAACAGGGGAATGGGGAGAAGTAGGATTTCGAGGAAAACGAAGGGGAAGACAAAGGGGAAGCACGAGGGGGAAGAAGAGAAGGTCACAGGGCCATGAAAACAAGGATCAGGCGATCGCAAACATGGATCAAGGAGGCGTGGATTAGCGACGGGCCCCGTTTCCATGGGAAATCGCAGATTTACGCCTCCGAACGAGGAGGCACCGGCCGCATTCTGGGGAGGACACCTCCCCCGATCCATGGATTTGGCGACCGCGCGCCTAATCCATGGATCGCTAATCCATGTTTGCGTGCCCCCGAAAGGAGTACGAGCTGGACGGGCGTTTTCGCGAATAGCGAAAGACGCGGTTTTGCGGCGGCCAGCCTTTTTTATCAGTTTGAGCCTTAGGAGGTCCGTCTCGGGTCCCCTGGAATGGCAACAACAACCAAGATTGCGGATCCGGCCGTCGAGATGGGATGCAGATGTCCAGGGGCTCACGTTACAAGTATATCACGATGTCGGATGCGTGGGGCAGGTAGGAAGGAGTCCAGGATGTGGGATGAATTGCAATACTGTCGGTGATTTTTGGAAGGAGTAGGGAAGGAGGTGAGGAGGAGGAGGAGGAGGAGGAGGAGGAGGAGGACGAGGAAATGAAGGAAGGAGGGCGGGAGGGAGAGGGGGACGCAGGGTGGAGGAGTGGAAGAGGACGATTGAGGGGTAGGATGTTGGTGGGTGGCTTTAGTGTGGTCCAGGGGTGTTTGGAATGAGAAGGATGAGGAGGTGGAGGGTGATGGGTAGGGAGGGGTGAGAAGGAAGAAGTAGAGAGAGAGGAGGAGGCAGGAGGAGGGGGAACAACGATTGAGGACAGTGTTCACGAGGAGGAGGCGGAGGAGGAGGAGGAGGAGGAGGAGGAGGAGGAGGACCAGAGTAAACCTTCGATGCGCAAGCGATGCTGCAATGCACCTGCAGGCTTTGCTGTTCTCTACGGGAAGCGCGTCCCTGAAAGACAAGCGCCCCATATGGGCGTGCCTTTCGGGCGGAGCTCCCAGTTGGAGAAGATACCGCCATCCGACCTTCCAGTTCCATGTGATGCCAAGCGTCAGAGTTAAGTCGGGCCTGTCCCTCTACAGGAGGAATATGCAACAATGGTCATCAAATAGTCTGGGATCGATTTTTCGACTATGTTTGAATATGTTTTCTATGTGTTGAGATGATTTGTTTTTCGTCAAAAAACCGCCTGTAGCAGGACATGCCCGACCTAACGTCAGGATCATATGTATATATATATGTATATGTATATATATATGTATATATATATATATATATATATGTATATATAGATATATGTGTATATATATGTATGAAAGAGCGCGTCCTGTGGTCGCTTGGAGGGGGGGGGGGTGAAACCGGACCCCCCCCCCTCCCTCCTCTGCGTCCCCTTTCCTCGGGCCGGCGCTTGTGTCGGCGGCGGCTGGCGACGGCGGCGGGGACGACGATTTCCATTTCTGGGCCGGCGTCAACGCCTGCGGCGGCGGGCGGCGGTGGCGGGGAGCGTCGACGAGGACGACGGTGGTTTGTGGTGGTGGTGGTGATGGTGGTGTGGTGGTTTGTGGTGGTGGTAGTGGGTTGTGCTGCTGGTAGTGGTAATGGTTGTGGCGGTGGTGGTGGTGTTGTGGTAGATTGTGGTGGTGGTTGTAGTGGTGGTGGGTTTTTGTGGTGGTGGTGGTGATGGTGAGTTGTGGTGTTGGTTGTGGTGGTTGGTGGTTGTGGTGGTGGTGGTGGTGGTTGTGTGGTGCTGTTGTTGTTGGTGGTGGTGGTGGTGGTGGTGTGTTGAGGCGGTTGAGGCGGTGGTGGTGGTATTGGTGGTATTGGTGGTATTGGTGGTATTGGTGGTATTGGTGGTACTGCGTCCCCGCCGTCGGCGCCAGCGCCGGCGCTGCTGGCCGCCGCCAGCGCCGGCGCCGGCGCGAGGGGGGGGTTGAACCCTCCCCCGTCGGCGCCAGGGGGGGGTGTTTGAACCCCCCACCCCCCCTGCGCTGCCTCTGGTCATCGTCGCTGCGTCCCCGCCGTGGGCGCTGCTGGCGGCCGCCAGCGCTGGGGCCGGCGCCGGCCGCCAGCGCTGGGGCTGGCGCCGAGGGGGGGGGGTTTGAACCCCCCCGGGCGGTGGTCGGCGGCGCCGAGTGCCCCCCCCCCCCCGGCTCGAAACGCGCCGCCGAATGTTCTCCAGGCAAGCGCCCGTGAAACGCGTTCTCTCATGTGTATATATATATATATATATGTCGATTTCGGAAGTGTTCAGCTAACCAGCCGGTTTGAAAAGGAGCCACAGCCCATCGGCTTTGCTGTTGAGCCATATGCACTTTACGGTTCTGAATTGTTAGGCTGGCCTGCGAGAGAGACCGAGTGAGGGCTTCACACATAATGACGTATATGTTTCCCGTTCGGTGATTTGTTGTAGCTTCCCCGCTATGGCACTGTATCAGAAACAGATCAAACATGCTTGTGTGTGGGTGTGTGGGGGGGAGAGGAGCCGCTTTCCATCCAGCTGCTGTAAGCCTTACCGTAAGACAAACAAACGCGCGCGTCGCTATAGCGATCACTGTTTTGTTTTGTAACAGGGCAACCCTGTTAACAAGAGTGCGCGCAGCGCTCAGGCGAGAGCCACATTTGGAAAGTCGGCCGCCCTCAACCCGGTCAGCAATTTCAGACTTTTTATGTTTAAGTCGACTATGCGCGGCGCTGAGGCGAGAGCCACATTTTGACAATTGTTCGATCTCTGCCGATTGAAGTGTTTGATCTCCGTAAAGCGGATGCGCCCCGTGCCAAGATAATAAAAATGATTACATGAAGACAGGTAGCCTTTCGCCCCTGGGATTGTCGGTGATCTCAGGCGTCGGGGTGGGCCAAGTATGCAATGGGTAACCTTCGATCAATTGTCTGGTACGCCCTATCGACACGCCTGCTGGTGCGAGGTGGAGGTGGATCACGAAGAGGAGGAGGAGGAGGTGGAATAAGAATACGAACACCACAATCGTAGGATTCATGTTGGGTCAGCGTGAAAAAAGGAGGAGGAAGAGGTGGAAGAGGAGGAGGAGGAGGAGGAGGGCAAGGAGGAGGAGAAGGAGGAGGAGGAGGACTGGGAGGAAAAGGAGGGAGGAGGAGGCGGAGGAGAGGAGGAGTAGGAGGAGGAGGAGGAGGAGGAGGAGGGGGGGGAGGGGGAGGAGGAGGAGGAGGAGGAGGAGGACGAGTAGAGTGGAGTGCAGTCGAGTGGGAGTGGATTGGAGTGAAGTGGAGTAGAGTGGAGTGGAGTGGAGTGGAGTGGAGTCGAGAGCAGTGCAGTGCAGATGAGTGCAGTGCAGTGCAGTGCAGTGCAGTGGAGTGGAGTGGAGTGGAGTGGAGTGGGGTGGGAGGAGGAGGAGGAGGAGGAGGAGGAGGGAGGAGGAGGAGGAGGAGGATGAGAGGAGGAGGAGGAGGAGGAGGAGGAGGGAGGAGGCGGAAAGAGGAGAAGAAGGAGGAGGAGGAGAGTAAGTGGAGTGGGAGGAGGAGGAGGAGGAGGAGGAGGAGGAGGTGGAGGAGGAGGAGATGGAGGAGGAGAGGAGGAGCAGGGGAAGGGAGGGGGGAGGAGAGGAGGAGGAGGAGGAGGAGGAGGAGGAGGAGGAGGAGGAGCAGGAGGAGCAGGAGGAGGAGGAGGAGGAGCAGGAGGAGGTCCAGGAGCCAATCCTGACCTCCCGTCCTCTTGCCCTCCAGCTCATCGCTGTGGACTCTGCGTCCTCCCTTCTCCCTCCGCCCCGCTCCCTTCCTCCCTCACCCTCCTCCCCTCGCATCTCCTCCTCCTCCTCGTCCCCATCCTGGTCCTCATCCCCACCCGCATCCCAAGCACCTCTCTCCTTCCCGTTGCTTCCAGCGTGGGGCGGTCGGCTGCAGTTGCTGCTCCCCTCCTGAGGAGTGGGCCGCAATGGACGTGGAGCTGAAGGGGCCGCTCACCGAGATGGTCTGCGTGCAGTTTGCCGACGACGTGCAGCACTCCCGAATGCAGGAGCGCTGAGCTCGGCCAGGCGCGCCGCTCCCCGAGGGGGACGCCAGCTGGCCACCTGCGGCAGGTGCGCGCGGAGCTGACGCGGCGGCGGCGGCGACTCCTGCGCGGGCGTTCACGGTTGCGCGCCGCCAGCCGGCCAGGAGTTGGCCGGCGTCGAGCGCTCGGCGCTGCCGCAGGGCCGCGGCCGCTCGGGCTCGGGGGCCGAGTGGCCCGTGCGGAGCCACGAGCCCACGCGCACGTCGTCACCGACACGAGCCCACGGCGGGTTCCTGCCCCCCCCGGCGCGTACCCACGGCGGGTTCTTGCCCCCCCCCCGACCCCCCTTGCAGTGCGGCAGCGTGCGCGCACGCTGGCGCTGGACACGGAAGATCCACGGCGGCCTCCTAGGAAACCTTGACAGGGGAGGTTGCTCCCAGACTGAGCGGTCCGCGTGGCGCCCGTGCCGTCACGGACAGCAGCTGTGTGCCGATGCGGGCCTGGGCCCACGCCTTGCCAAGCATCGGTGGGCACGCGTCCCCCCTTCGGGCTGACCAGGAAGGCGCGGGCGCACGCCGATCCCGAGCCTGGGATTGGCCTGGCCGGGGTCGGCATGATGCCTGCCTATCCTGTCCAGGCGTGGGAGTGAGCGCGGTTCTCGGGGTCGCCGGGGGTGGTCAAGCAGCGGCGAAGCGTCCTGGCTCGTTTATAGCCCCACCAAGCAATGTTCTAAGAACCTTTTGTGGTTTCCACGAGATGTTCTTAGAACATTTCTGGCGGAGTCTGTTTTATTTTATCACATCGGGTTTGTGTTCTAAGAGCACTGTGTTTGTTCTTGGAACATTTCTGGGGTCTCTAAGGTCATGTCGTGGTATGACTGTAGGAATGCCGTGACGGTCGGTCCCTGCTCAAGGTTCACCACCCACCAAACCACCCAAACCCAACCCGAAGGCTCAGATTTACCCTCGATTTCCAGGGGGGGGGGTCGGCAAACATTGAAAAAAACACATGTGGAACCCTTACCCCCCCCCCGAGCCCGAAATTCGGGTCTTCGGGTTGGGCTGGGGTGGTTTGGTAGGTAGTCAAAGGTGGGGCGAGGCATTTTTTTGCGCCGCAGCGCGGCAGAGGCAGGCCGCACGCGCGCGCGCCAGCGGGGCGGGGAGGCGGCGGGCGCTGGGGCGTGCGGCAGGCAGGAAGGGGTGGAAAAGGGGGGGGGGGGACGGGCGGGCGACCGCGGGGGAGGGTTAAGTCGGGCCTGTCCCCTTACAGGGGGGTTTTCGACGAGAAATATAAATTACTTCGACGGAAGAACCCCACAGAAGAATCCTCTGGGCGAATCTGGAAAAAGCCATCACCGTCGTCCTCGTGGTTGGTGAGGCGTCCTGGCTGTCTCTTCTGCGTATATTTCCTCTCGCCTTGGCGCGGGCCCCCCTTCCACTCCTTACGTTGTCCCCATCCTCGCCCCCCTGTTTGTTCCGCGCCCCGCCACCTCCTCCCCTTCCTGTTGCATGAGCGCGCATGTCGATGTTCCTCGGCGCCGTCGCCGCCACGGCCAGCACAGGCGCGTTCTCTACTGGTCACGTCGCGCAGCCGTTGGGACAACCCCGCGGGCCAGGCTGTCGGGACAACCCCGCGAGCCGTTGGCGCGCAAGACCAAGCCGTTGGGACAACCCCGCGGGCTTCGAGCGAGGCGCAGCCGCGCTCAGGCGGAAGGCAGCACGAAGCCCAGCTCTGCCGCGAGCTGCTTCGCCTCCGCCCTGGACAAAACCGCTCTCTTGTCGAACTCCAGGAGCGCCTTCCGCAGGGACGCCGGCGGCCCGCACTCCAGGAACTCTCGCGGCGGCGGCCGCAGGATCAGCATGTTCCGCATGCACGTGGCGCGGGAGAACATGACGTAGAGGTGCAGCCACCACTGCTCGTCCGACATGCCCGTGCGGCCAGCGTCCTCGTCTCTCGCGCAGTCGATGGTGACGCCCTTGCGCAGCGTCTGGCCCTGCGACAGCGTGGAGGTCAGGTAGGACGCGTGCGTCAGGGTGAACCCCGAGCGGCGCACGCTGTGCGCCCCCGAGCTCTGCCATGTGAACTCCCTTTCGCTGGGCCTGAACATCAGCAAGCTCCGCGCCCGCGCCTCGATCTCCCGCCTGAGACTTCCTCCCAGTTCACTCACAGACGAGGCTCCCGCCTGAGACTTCCTCCATATTCAGGCTTGAGGAGCCCAAAAGTGACGACAGTTACAGGGTTCCGATGACCCGCTCGGATTACCAACATGATCTGCGGGCCCCATAGGGAGGGAGTTCCCGCCTGAGACTTCCTCACAATTCACTCAGAGACGAGGCTCCCGCCTGAGACTTCCTCCAAATTCAGGCTTGACGAGCCCAAAAGTGACGACAGTTACAGGTTCCGATGACCCGCTCGGATTACCAACATGATCTGCGGGCCCCATAGGGAGGGGGCTCCCGCCTGAACCTTCCTCAGAATTCACTCACAGACGAGGCTCCCGCCTGAGATTTCCTCCAAATTCAGGCTTGAGGAGCCCAAAAATGACGACAGTTACAGGATCCCGATGACCCGCTCGGATTACCAACATGATCTGCGGGCCCCATAGGGAGGGAGCTCCCGCCTGAGACTTCCTCCCAATTCACTCACAGACGAGGCTCCCGCCTGAGACTTCCTCCAAATTCAGGCTTGAGGAGCCCAAAAGTGACGACAGTTACAGGGTTCCGATGACCCGCTCGGATTACCAACATGATCTGCGGGCCCCATAGGGAGGGAGCTCCCGCCTGAGACTTCCTCCCAATTCACTCACAGACGAGGCTCCCGCCTGAGACTTCCTCCATTTTCAGGCCTGGGGAGCTCAAAAGTGACGACAGTTACAGGATACCGATGACCCGCTCGGATTACCAACATGATCTGCGGGCCCCATAGGGAGGGGGCTCCCGCCTGAGACTTCCTCACAATTTACTCAACGATGATGAGGATGAGGATGATGAGTGGTGGTGAAGATGAGTGGTGGCGATGATGATGTTTGAATGAGGATGATGCCGATGCCGATGATGATGATGATGATGATGATGATGTTCGTGAGCGTGTGAGAGAGTGCGAGTGATGATGATGATGAGTATGTGAGTGACTAAGCATTTGAGAGAGCATCATCGATGATGCTGATGAGGTTGATGATGAGAGAGTGTGAGTGAGTGTGAGTGTGTGTGTGTGTGTGTTCCTGTTCCTGCGCGGGGTGTCCAGAGAAAACAAGAACCCCACTTTGGATGTGGGGAAGAATACACCAAGCATGATCAACAAATAATCCAGAGAGTCTGGGGATTATTATCCGAGGTTTTTTTTTCACCTTTTGGAGGGTATTTTTTTCTTTTCCGAATATTTTTCGTAGAAGAGAAATCCCCTTGTATGGGGGACAGGCCCGACAGAAGGGGAGGGCAAAGGGGGCAGGGAGCGGAGGGCACGCACAGGGCGAGGTGCACCGCCTTGGAGCCCCCCGGGGGGGGGGGGGGGGCGCCCGGACCCGGGCGCGCAGGCCGCCCGTGCTGCACCGGACGCCGCGCTCGGCGAGCCGCGAGCGGACCGTCGGTCGCTCTTTTGCGCGCGCAGGGCCGCTCCCGCAAGGGAGCCGCTCTCAGGGGGACGTAAGACCTGGGTACAGGGGGCCCGGAACTCCCCGACGAGGTCGTCAAAAACATGACGAGGCCGAACCTGCATCTTGACGAGGCCGCCCGCGGCAGACATCCCACGAAACTCGTCTTCGTCAAAACCCGAGGCGCGGCCGTCAGAAAACGATGGCGAACCCGAGTCCTGGCAAACCCGGGTCTTACGCTCCCCCGACGCTCGTGCTTTGGCACTGCCCCCCGGCGGGTCACGCTGCGGCATTTTTTTTCGCGCGGGCCCTCTGGCCATCCGGGCGTCTGCGCGCGGCCCCGACGCCCTCCTGTGGAGTTCCGCTGAAGGAGGAGGAGGAGGAGGAGGAGGAGGAGGAGGAGGAGGAGGAGGAGGGGGAGGAGGAGGGGGAGGAGGAGGAGGAGGAGGAGCAGGAGGAGGAGGAGGAGGGGGCGGGGGCGCAGGCAGCCACGCCCTCCCGTGGAGTTCCGCGGAGCAAGCAGAGCATACTTGATTCGTAATTCTTTACGCTTCGCGCATCCCCACCAGCCCATCTCACAGCAGCAACTCTCGCGAAGCATGCCGACAGTCGGATTTTTCAGGCGTGTGTCCGCTGGGCCCCGCATATCTCCCCTGTTCCTCCTTCCTCCCGCCTCCTTGTACATCCTCCTTGTGGGGGGAGCGGGAGAAGGACGAGGCGAAGGAGGAGGGAGAGAAAGCGCTCCTCGTGGTTTGAAACGTTTGGGATTTCTCGTCCTGGTCTGAGTCGTTCGGGCCCTTCTTCCTGGTGCGAGTCGTTCGGGCTCTTCGTGGTGTGAGTCGTTCGGGCTCTTCGTCCTGGTGTGAGTCGTTCGGGCTTCTCGTGGTGTGAGTTGTTCGGGCCCCTCGTCCTGGTGTGAGTCGTTCGGGCCCCTCCTCCTGGTGTGACTCGTTCGGGCTCCTCGTGGTGTGAGTCGTTCGGGGCCCGCGTCGTGGTGTGAGTCCTTCGGGCTCCTCGTGGTGTGAGTCGTTCGGGCGCCTCGTCCTGGTGTGAGTCGTTCGGGCCCCTCCTTGTGGTGTGAGTCGTTCGGCCTCTTCGTGGTGTGAGTCGTTCGGGCCCCTCGTCCTGATGTGAGTCGTTCGGGCTCCTCGTGGGGCCCCTTGGGGGCCTCTTGGAGCCTCGTGTGGCCTCTTTGGGGCCTCTTGGGGGCCTCTTGGGGGCTTCTTGGGGGCCTCTTGGGGCGTCGTGGGCCTCTTGGGGGCCTCTTGGGGGCCTCTTGGGGGCCTCTTGGGGCCTCGTGGCGCCTCTTGGGGGCCTCTTGGGGTCCTCTTGGGGGCCCCTTCGTGCCGCTTGGGGGCCTCTGGGGGGCCTCTTGGAGGCCTCTTGGGAGCCTCCTAGGTGCCTCTTGGGGCCATCTTGGGGCCTCTTGCGACCT